TCTGGTCTCCAGAAACAGGAGAACACCCTTGTGTGTTTTATACCTCCGGCGGTGCGGTGCTTCGTATGGCAGCCCAAGAAGGCTGATGCACTCACTCTATGTCCTAGGGCTGCTGTAAGAGAGCACCACCGGCTGGGGAGGCTTCAAACAACAGAAGTTTATTCCTTCCCGGCTCTGGGGGCCAGAAATCTGAAATCGGGGTGTTGGCAGGGTTGGTTCTTTCCGAGGGCTATGAGGGAGCACCTGTTCCAGGCTTCTCTCCCAGCTTCTAGGGGCTTCCCCGCCATCCCCGGTGTGTAAGATACATCATTCCAATCTCTGCCTTCATCTTCACATGGCCTTCGCCCTGTGCGCCTGTCTCTTCAGATCGATTTCCTGCTGTGCACGTCTGCTTCTGTGTCCAAATTTCCCCCTTTTTAAAAGGAACTAGCCACATTGGATTAGGGCCCATTGTTACTTGAATACTTTGTAAAGACCCTATTTCCAAATAAGGTCACACTCTCAGGTGCTGGGGTTTAGGACTTCAACATCTCTTTTTTAAGGGACATAATTCAGCCCCAATAATGACACCTCCCCTCATCATGCTCTCCAGCTGCATTTCCCAGCATAGGTCCTGCCCTGGTCTGTTGCCACATCTTTGCATACTCCCCTTTCCTCTCTGATGACTTGACAAATGTCTTCATTCTTCAGTCTCAACAATATCACCTCCTCCAGGAAGCCCTCCCGACACCCAACATCTGGGTTAGCTGCCACTCCCTGTGCATGCCATAGCTTCCTGTTGTAGTATTTGTCACACAATAATATCAGGGCTGTCTGACTCCTCGCCTGCCTGCACCAGGGCCCTCGGTCCCAGAGGGCAGGGGCCCTATCTCTTGCTTCTCTTGCGTGTTTTCTAGCACCTGTTAGCACCTGCCAGAAGCAGGTGTCCAATAAAGAATAGTCGAATGCTTGAATGCTGAATGAATGAATGAGGCTAGGCTCTTTGCCAAGGGCCCCCTCTCCCTTGGGCCCCTCTGCTGCTAGCCTTTAGAGAAACTTCTAGCGAAGTCTAGCTAGCTTTAGAGCAGTCTGTCAGACGCAAATGACAATCAAGTTCCCACATGGTACAACTCCAGGGAGCACCATTTACACTGTAGTCTAAGTGCCCTGTGAGTGGGGTGATCTGGAGAAGAGCAGCAAGCTGGCTGCGGACCACAGAGCTCAGATCCCTCTAACCCGACAGTCACTCTCTTGGGAATGTTTCTACCCCCAGTTTAGGATTTGCCCTGAAGTTTCCCGATTAACATCCCCCCTCAGCTCAAGGAGGCCTACAGCTCCACTGGGTCCTCATCAGGCCCCTCACCGTCAGCTGCTGGGGTTGCCTGTGTGCTCTGGAGGGCCAGGCAGGGTCCTTGCCTGAAATGGAAGGCCCACCCTGCTGGGTTCTGCAGGGAACGTGAGGAGGGGAGGGCGGGGCTGCAGGTTAGGGACTCAACAAGGGAGTCTGAGGACCCGGGGAACTCACGCCAGGACGCTGGTACCACGTGCAGGTCAGCAGGGGGGGAGAAGACATGGCATCACTCAGTTTCTCCAGGAGAAGGGCACCGCTGGAGCCGTGGACCTTCTGGGGTGTGGTGGGTGGGGAGTGAAGGGACATACTGGGCCAAGGCTGCAGGTGGGGGCGGGGGTGGGGCTTGTGCTGCTCTGAGAGCTGGAATCGATCCCATCCGAGCTCATGAGCTCACGGAGGGAGGCCGCCGCTACTGCCAGAGAAGCATGGGGGAGGAGAGGCCCTGACCTCTCTCCTCCCACCTCCCCGCCTCCTCCAGGTGCCTGCATTCTCCTTGCTCAGGAGCCCAGATGACAGTGTGGAGAAGGGTGAGGACAGGCGCCTGCTAGGTCCCACCTTCCGTCCGTCTGGTAGTGATGAGTGCCTGCCTTGAGCCAGGCCCTCACCTGATGGGAAAGATCAGAGACGGCAGTTTGCGTGCCTCACACCACTTAAGTCTCAAACTGCAGCTGGCTGTTGTAAAGCCAGGGCTACCTGGCCTGAGGACTGAGGCTCCAGGCGCCTCCTCGCCAACCCTGCAAGTCCGGGGCCCCCTTATCCTCCCCCCAGGCACCTGTCTTTCCTGTGTGGCCACAGGTGGGCACGTGGAGCCACTGACAGGCTGCCCACCTAAGGGATGGATGGGGAGCAGGTGTGCAGAGGCAGGGAGGTCACAGGGGTAGGAAGATGGTGTGGGGGGACCTGTACCAGTTGTCCTTGGGAGAAAGATGAGGGGTCTGCTGAGGGTGGGGAGGTGGAGGCACAAATGGTGGAGACTCAGGAACATTCTGGGGCGGCCTGGGCAGGCCAGCGATAGATTGGATGTGGGGCAGAGTGAGTGATGGGGCCACAGGACAGTGGTGGAGAGAAGAATTACGTTTCTTATCGGGGGGAAGAGGCAGCTGGCTGGATGGTCTAGGTGCTTGACCTCAGAGAGCCCTCCACAAACCAGAAGCTTCCACATCATCCAGAGGTCCTCAGAAATGCAGTCTCATGCCCTACCCAGACCCTGGGAATCAGAACCTGCATTTCTGGAGACCCTCAGGTTGGTCTGAGAAGCTATGGACTAGAGCTCCCCTGAGACCCTGCCTCACAGCAGCCTAGGTCGGTGACTGGGTTCTCCCGGTGGGGGGGGGGGGTGACTCTGTTCCCTGGGGACACTGGGGACATTTTCAGTTGTTACAACTGCGGGGGGGGGCAGTGCTCCTGGGATATAGTGGGTCGGGGCCAGGATGTACCATCCTTCGATGCACAGGGTGGCCCCACAGCAAAGGATGACCTGGCCCCAAGTGTCCATAGCACCAGGGGTGAGACACCCCAGATGCCTTGATGTGGGTGTCCAGGCTCTGCCATGAGTCCTTGACTTTTAACCTAAGTCTCGCCCCTTCCTGCCCCCTGCAAAGCCCCCTCAAAGCCACACAGAAAGGCCAGATGTCAATGAGTCACTTACAGTTTATTTTTGCCTGAAAGTATTTCACATCTCTGAACACAGCTACGTGACAGTAGTATTACCCATCAGGAAAAGCAACAGTGCGAAGGGAAAAGGTGGCATGTCTCGGCTCTTCTTCTTTTTTTTCTTTTTAATTTTAAGTTTTTTCTTTTTTTTTTTCTTTTTTCTTTTTTTGCTTCTGCTTCTTCCTGCACCAGAGTGCTGTAAAGTACGGGACTGGAGGGGAGCAAATAAAACCAAACAACAGAAAACAACAACAACAACAACAACAACAAAACAAAACACAGAACGGAACACACTCACACGCACACACGAAATCAAACCTGGCACGGAAAATGAGTTAAGACTGAAACCCAATTTCTCTTTTGTTTCCTTTTTTAAAAAAATGAGGGCATAGTCAGGGGGTAATAAAGTCTACCTAGCAAAGTATAAAACGACAAAAGCATGGTTTCCATTGAATAAGATTAAATATATATAAAACAATTACATTGATTGGGGGTTAGGTCTGGAGGTGCCGGAGGCGGGTGTTTGTGCTAAACCAACAGAAGAAGGGGCTTGGGGGAGAGGGGACCCCAAGTAAACCATGAGGGCTGTTCTGTACAGTGAGGGCTTGTTTATAAAAGAAATGGAGGCGGGTGTGTCTCCAGGGCAGGTGAGGGGACAGAAGGGTAGAAGGGGCGTCTGCGCTGCAGTGGTCACATTCGAGGGGTGGGGTGGGCGGTCAGGCTGGTGGAGGAGACGTCTCTCTTCTCCCAAGAGACCATGCAAAGAGGCGGGCATGCATGAGGGGACCACGGGAGGCACAGGACGGCAGGGAGGCCACAGGTCGCAGAGTCTCAGTCGGGACGGGAACAGTAGAGGCCACAGGGATGGGAGCGCTCCGGGGGAGGGGTGGGGGCAGCTCTCCCATGGGATGGACGGGAGGACAGGTTAGCACCCCCCCTCCAAACGTGTAAAAGGGGGCCGAGAGAAAGTTGGGGCCTTAGAAGGAGCAAGACCACAAAGTGGAGACCCCACTTCTCCTCCCCCAGCCTGACCCCCAACCCATGAGGAAACTGGAGACTTCTGGAATCCAAGTGCACGGTGGCGGGCAGAGGGACGGAGAGACAGACAAGAGAGCATTAGCATACAGAATCCATTACGAAAAAGCAATTAATTTTCCAAGGAGGTTCTTTTTTTTTTTTGTCTGTTTTGTTTCCTTTAAAAAATAACAAGAATACTACCACTACCCCCGACAGCTGACTGGTTTGTACAGTACTACACGCCAGGGTGGCCGGTGGGCGGGCGGGCGGGAGGGTCAAAGACGTCATAAATAAGAGGCAGGTCTCAGACCTGCAATTTGTCAACATTTCTTAAATAGGCGCATTATTTAAATCTTATGTACAACAAGGATCACTTTGCATAGCAATGGCGAGGACACAGGACGGTGCGATGACGGTGTCTGGGTCTGGTCCCGATGCGATGGTGGCAGGGTGAGTTCTCGGTGGGGCCTCAGAGGAAGAAAGCATCCTTCCTCGGCCTCCAGACCCATCGGGGTCGGTCGAGTGATGGTGGCATCGGAGTTGACTTTTCCCACACGGCATTGAACACAAAGGCAAAGAAAATCCACAAAGGGTCCCCCTCCCAAGCCCCCACCCCCACCCTCTCCCGGACCTGCTGACGCTCCTCTGGTTGCTACAAAGTCCGTTTTA